ATTAAAATATTATAATTATTATTATTATTATTATTATTATTTTTATTATTATTATTATTATTATTTATTTTTATTATTATAATTATTTATTTTATTCTATTTTTATTATTTTTTATTTTTAATTAATATTTTTTTTATATTATATTAATTTATTAATTTAAAGAATATTTTCTTATTTTTTGTTAAGTATTAAATAAGAAATAAAATATATAATTTTACAATTAATATTTATTACTTCTTTTAAATAAAATATATAAATATAATAATTATAAAAATTAGTACAATTACTTTTATTACATTAATTAATAATATGTAATTTTTATTATTTAAATTAATATAAAAGAGAGAAAATAATAATATTTAATAATAAATAAAAATACAATACTTTTTTTTTACAATATATAAATAAAAACTTAAATATATAATTTTAAAAGTAAATAAAAAAATTTTTTTAATGAATATATTTAAATAAATTAATTGTTAAATTCCTTTTCTTCATTAAAATACAAAATATTTAAGCTCTACAACAAGAGAAAGTAAATATTTTAAATTTACATAAATATTTATATAAAAAAACAAAATAAAAAATCAATTTAAATAAATTAAATAGTTCTTAAAATTAAACTAAATCTTCAATACACTCCAAATCTTTAAAAGAGATTTTTAATAAACTAAAAATAAACTTTATAAGATGTTGAAAATCTCATAAAAATTGACAATCCGAAAGTTAACTAAGTCAAATTCGAATTGAACGGCTAAGAGTTATAGCAAAAAGATTAAAACATATTTATAGACTTAGCAATTAAAAGCAGCTTAAAATTATATTTGGATAACATTCCTATTGCATATGATTTCGGGAAATATGGAGAAAACGTCAATTATTATCACAATTCTATGTTTGATGGCGAATTTGCTTAGTATGAAATACCTTACTAAGATGCTTAAATAATATGTTTATTTACAAAATAATTCAAGTAATTATTAGAGAAGTAATATGCCAATAAATAAGTGTTTTCAACGCAAGATTTAGATAATTGCTTATAATAAACAATAAATGTTTTCGCTGAAAGAAATAATAGCTAAAACATTGAAGAATTACAAAAAATATGTGAAGAACTAAAAGAAGAATACAAAAACGAAATAGAAAAAAAGGAATAAGCTGAAAATTTAGCTAAAAGAAAAAGCATAAATATTATAAAATGGGCTTTAGGGTATTAAATTATTTAATTTGGGGTACTTTACTATATAACTTATTATCTTTATGGATGGGATTTTACTGAACCTGTTACTTATTTGTTGGGTTTGGGAAGCGAAGCTGCTGTTTTGTATTATTTTGTTTAAAAGAAAAAGAATTTGAATTTCTTTACTTTTTATGATAATTATTACTAGAAAAATAAAAATAAAGAGTTTTAGAAACACAGTACTAATTTAGAAACTCATATTAAGCTTTTGGAAAATAAAATTTTAATGTTTGAAGATAAAATTAAGTTTGGGTAATCTTATTAGAAAAAATGATTTTTTTTTTTATTATTTTATGTAACTTTCTATATATCTTTTTTTTAAATTTAAAATAATAATTTTTCTTCAAAAATATTAGTTTTTTTGCTCTACATCTATACATTATTATTATATATATTTTGCTTGATTTTTTATATAAAATCAATTATTTCATTACTCATTTATGGATTTTTTACTTTATTTTTTTATAATTTGTTACTTAAAAATATTTTTTTTTATTATAATCAATTATAAAGAGTATAATATTGTTTATTAAGATTTATTTTTAGATTATTATTTATTGTTTTAGGAAATTAACTTATTTTTGATAAAATTATATTTTCTTTTATTACATTTAAATTATAAATCTGTTATTTTGAAATTTATATCTTTAAGTTAATTATTTCTTACCATTAATTAATTTTTTTACTGTAAAAAACTGTTTATATAATATATATACACTTTATAACTTAAAACTTATTTTTATATAAATTTTTAAAGATTCAAATGTAAATATTACTATATATTATTCTATATATTCATATTTTAATTAAAAAAAATATTTTTATATTTATTTTTCTTTTTCATTATTTTAAGATTACAAATATTTTTATATTTTATTATATTAATTATTTTATATGATATTATAAATATAACTTTTTTAGATATATTTTTTATATTTTATAGATTTTTAAAATACAAATTCTGGATTTTTAATTTTCTTTATTTATTTATAATTTCAGATTTTTTATTTTTAATTTGCATACTTTATGATTTATATTCATTTTAAAGTTATGTTTATATATTTATTATTCCTTTTTATTTTTTCATGATTTTATATTTTTTTATTTTATTTATTTAGCTTTATTTGATTATTTTTATTCTATTTCTTAATTTTTTAAATTTTATTAATTATTTTGCTATTCTTAAAAATTTAATGCTTAATATTTTATTTGATATATTTTCTTTTTATTATATATTTTTAAAATAAATGTTTTTTATGTTTTAAAAATATATGATTTTATTTAATTTATTATATATATATAATTTATATATGTGTAAATAATTATATTAAATTTTATAATATTTATTCATATTATTATAATTAAAATTTTTTTTAATCTAAATTAAAAAACATTAGAATTGCTATTATAGATAAAATAAAAAAATAGCAATCAATAAATATAGGAAAAAGAAAAAATTAAAGAAAAAAAAATTTTAAATTTTTAAAATATATAGTAATATTACAAACATAAAATATATAGAAATATTGCAGATATAAATAAACTTTAAAAATATTATAATATAAACAAGTATATAATATTGTTATATATATAGTTATTTTATAAAAAATAATTGTATATATTTATACACAAATATATTTATATTTTGATATATTATTATATTATCTTTATATATATAATTTTTTGTTTGCTTGTATATTCATTTTTATTAGAATATTGAATCAAAAAGGTTTTATTATTCCTTATAAATATCAATATTAATTTTTTTAAACATGTTTTTTGACAAACTAAATTCGATTTTGTCTTCTCTATTTTTTTAACTTTAATTATTTTGGTTAAATTAAGAGAATTAAATTTATTAATTTTATTATTATTACTATTATTATTAACTTTATTATTATTAAACATTATTTTTTTATATTTATCTAAGTTTATATGTAATATTAGATTCTTTTGAGTTTGGTGAGAATTCTTTTTTATTTTCAACTTTTGTTTTTAAATTTTTTTTTTCATATGTATGTATATATAAATATATATATATATATATATATATATATATATTTATATAAATAAAAAACCTTTTTATTCATTTGAATTATATGTTGTACTTCCTTTTACGAAATAATTTAAATCATCATCTTCATTTTTACTTTAATTTTATTAATTATTAATTATTTTATCAGAATTTTCATTCAAATTTACCCAATCATACATATAATCCCATTAATAGTCTAACTCGAAGAAAAGTTCCTTAAACATTTATCTTAAATAATAATAATTCGGCTATTCTTCAAATTTTAGTTCTTTACAATATTTAAGATATGTTTTAAATTCTTTAGGAAGTCCTTCACATAAATCATCTATTGAAGTCTATAATTTTTTCTATTTTAATTTTTCGTATTTTTCTTCTTTATTTTCACCATATTATCCTTACCAAGGTAGTTTTCCTTTTAAAAAATAAATCCATACATAACCCAAACTTTCTAAATCATCTTTTCTACTTTATTCTAATTAATTTAAATTAATATATATTAAATTTATTATATAATATTAAAAAAAAAAAACCTATTCCTAAATGAGTATTTATTGATACATATCTAGCAGTTCCTATCAATCCTTTATTATCTCTATAAGGAATATGAACACCCGTTTTTTAGTCTTTATATCTTTTACATAATCCGAAATCTATTAAATATATTGTATATTATTGTTTTGCTTTTTTTCCTATTATAAAGTTTTCAGGTTTTATATCTCTATAAATATAATTTTTATTATGTATTGTTTCTATTCTTTTCAACTTGTTTTATTTTTATTTTATTATTTTTTTAAAATATTAATTTTATTTTTTTTTTTAATATTTTTAAACCATTTAATCTATCATCATTAAAACTGTTTTCAAAGTAAATTTTCTTTAACATTTTTAAAATAAAGTTTCTAAATTAGCTCCTTAGAGATCCATTGCAATTATGTTTTTTCCAGAATCATCAGTTCCATTCCAATGTAATATTGCAAACCCTTCTATTTTTTTGATTTTTTAAAATAAATAATTTAAAAATAAAATAAAATAAAAAACCTTATCCTTATAATATTTTTAATAATTTCGCTTCATGAGGAATTTAGGAATTATGAGTATAATATAAATCCTTTATTAGAAAATAATAATAATTTTATATTTAAAATTTATTTTATATTTACTATTTTAAGAGCCACTTGAGTATTGGTAATTAAATTTTATGCTTTTTTAAAAAAAATAAATAAAATAAAATTAAAAATATTTTAAAATTTTTATTTAAATATATTAAATATACCTATATAGCAATCTCCAAAAGAGCCTCTTCCTAATTTATCTATTATATAAAATTAGTTAGCTAAAGTTTTATTTATTAATTCTTTGCTGTCTTACATTCTATTTATATAGCAGTTTTATCTTAGAAAATTAATATGTAATTTAGTAAATAAATATATATTTAATTATAGAAATTTTTTTGTTTTTTTGTTTTTTTTATTATATTATATTTTCTATATTTTTTATTTTATTTTTCTTATTATTTTTGTAATTACTTTAATTAAATAATTTTTAAACATAAAATCATTGATTTCATATATATATATATATATATATTTATTTTTTTATGAAATTTAATAATAATAATTTTATTATTTAATATTTTTAATTAATATATTTAAATTTCATTTTTATTTTAAATTTCATTTAATTTAACTTTTTTTATAATATAAATTTCATACAGGAGTCACATTAACTAACTAAAAAAATAAAAATATAATTAATTTTTTTTTTTAAATATATATTTAACTTTTTCTAATGCAAATAATATTTTTTTAGAACTTTTATACTATTATTTAGGATTTAAAAGAAGTTCGCATATCCTTTAAAGTGTAAATGGAGGTCTTTATTTAATTTTTATAATAATAAATAAATAATATTAGTTATTTTTTATATATAAAAAAAAAATACTTGCTATCAAATCCAGAAATAAATTATAAAATCACTTCTAATTCATCTTCAAATGATTCACCTAAATTTTATTTCATATCAGGAAATTGTTAATTCATTTAAGCTAAAACATCTCTTGCAACAATTATTATATGACTTCTTAAATGTTTCCAGTTAAAAGGTTAATATTCACCTGTTTTTGAAATTTCTATTAATACCTTTTCTAATTCATTTCTAAGTTTTTAATATTCGGGTGTTTAAGGCGTATGATTTGTTACTTTTTCACCATTTTGTATTTAAGTTATTTCTTATTCTACTAAATTATGAAATTGCTCTAATTATAATTTTAATTTTTCTTATTGTAAATCCATTTTTTATTTTCTTTTTCTCAATTTTTTTTATATTAATTATTTATTAATTGATATATTTATTTCACGAAAACAATTTTATTTCTTTTAATTTTTTGTTAATTATTTTTTATATTTTAAAGGAAAAAACAGTATTTTTTGCGAATGTTTTTTTTTTTTTTGCTTAATATATTTATAATTGAAATTAAAACAAAATACTTTATAAATTATTACAATACTTAATATATAAAACAAATAAAAAAATATAAATAATTTGGTTTTTTATAAATAATATAATATATATATATATATATATAGGAAAGAAAAAAAAAGAAATTCTACTAATATATTTTTCTTTCTTTCTTTCTTTATTTCTTTCTATTATTTAATATATATCACATAACAAAATTGTTTGAAACAGGCAAGTTAATTAATTTATATGTTTATAAATTTTCAGTAGAATCATTTTTTTATATTTTACTCGTATAATCTTTTATTATAATATTCAAATCTTCATAAGATTTAAAATTTTCACAAGACATTTGGATATTCTATTCAAAACTAATCTCACTTTTTTACCATTAGTTATTATTAAAAGGAGAATCGAGATCTTTGCTAGATTTTTATATTACTTCATTCACTTATTATTATATTGAGAAATTGTTTATTTTGTTTTAGAAATCATCATAATTTTCACATTATATATATAGATTTAAATGATTAATATCTATTATAATAGCATTAGATCTTTATCTTGTATATTATGTTTATTATTAAATCATTTAAGGATTATTAAATTTTATTAATTTTACTTATACGTTATGATTTTTGTGTTTTTTATTATTATAATTTTTGAGTTTTTGATTTGTTATTTTTATAATTATAAAAATTATTTTTACTTTTTTATCACTATTTAATAAATATGGAAAGCAAATCAAAAAATGTAAATTAACATTTTATAACAATAGATGATAAATATTAATTAATTTTTAAATAATAATAAATATTATTTAATATTTATATAATAATTATTTATACGAAAAAATATTACCCTACTAAAAAAAATATATAATAATATTTTATTAAAATTAATAATAAAAAATGAAACAACAATTTAGAAAATATATAAATATATAAATATATAAATATATAAATATATATATATATATATATTATATAAATAATTTTTTTAAAATTAATACAATAATTTTTTTTTATTAATTTAAAAGAATTTTTATAAACCAATAATATACTTATTATTATAAATATAAATATAAATTTTATTATTATTATTAAATAAATTATATCGAAAATAAATAAATATATATTTTCATATAATTTTAATTGTACATATATTTGTTATTATTAGTATTATATATTTTTTTATACCATTATTAAAAAACCATATTATTTTTCTTACTGTTACATGCATTACTTTTATTATTTATAAAATCTTTTTAATTTAGTATTTTTTAATAAATTCATCGATATTTATATAATTTTAGTATTATTTATTTTCTTATATTGTTTAGTTTTAAAAATATATTATATTTTAATTTTTTTTATATTTTTTTAATATTTATTAATATATTATCATTTTATTTATTTTTACTTTTCTAAAATCTAATAAAAATATTAATTCATTAAATAAGATTATGATTTAATAAAATAAACGTTGATAATTTTTTATATTTAGAAAATAAAATAAATGATATTTTATTTTTTATTGATTTTTAATGATAAAAAATAAAATTTCTTATATCTTTATTTTTAAAAAATTCTTAAGTGCTTTTTTGATAAAAACAAAAAGATTCATAATGTATTTTAGCATTTCAAATTAATAAAAGATGCGTTTAGGTATTATAGTATTAAAGTATTTTTAAAAATTTATAAACAGCATTGAAGTATATACCGTTAAAAAACACAATAAAAAAATTATTTTAAATTTTAAAAAATATATATTAATAACAATATTTTACAATATAAAAATAAAAAATTATATAAATTTTACTAAATTAGTTATAACAATAAGTAAAATTATATTTTTAAAATAAAAAACTTGAGTTAAAATATAAAAATATTTGTTATAATAATAAAAAGTTAAAATATTTAAAAGTTGATTTATATAGAAATTAGAAATATTTTTATAATATTTACAAATTAAAAAATAATATAATTAAATTAAATTTTATATTAATAAAAAATATGAATTATAATAAAAAATAAAAATTATAATTAATAAAAATAAATGTATTTATATATATATAAATATATATATAAATATTTAAATATATATATTATAATTATTTTATTTAAAATATTTTTAAATTACAAAATTATTTTTATAATAGTTTTTTTTTATATATATATTAGATTATAAATAAAATTAATGGATACATAATTAAGTTTAAAAGAATATTTTCTAGAATTAGGTTTTGAAGAAATTTACATCGATAAAGCTTTATAGGTAACAACTGATAAAGAATAAATTGTAGAATTAATATTTTAATATTAAGAATAAAGCTAATTACAGAAACCTGTATAAATATAAAACGATTATAATTTAATAAATTAAAATAGCATTTATAAAATGGTAAATAATTTAAATATAAAAGTCAATTTATATATTGTTATTTGCGCCTTTTTAAAATAAAGATATTTTTAATAAGAACAGATTTAAAAATGAGTGTTGGTAAAATAGCAGCATAAACAGGTCATGCAAGTATTTTTTTTTTTTAAATAAAAAATTAACTTATTAAATATATACTTAAACAAATAGTCTTAGGAAATTATTAACTCTTATAAAAATCTCAATATGAAATGTAATTATTAAATTAATGGAAACAAAAAGGAAGTTAAAAAGCTGCTTTTAAGGTAAACTCTAAAGAATAAATGCTTTCCATTTAATAAAAAGCAAGTTCTTAAGGAATCAGTACTTATATTGTATGCGATGCTGGAAAAACATAGGCATTTTTTTTTATAATGAGGTTTATTTATTAATTTATTTTTAAAAAAATTAATATATTTTAGATTGAACCAGGAAGTATTACTGTATGTGCAATAGGGCCTTTAAAAAGTGAAAATGTAGATAAAATTGTAGAAGGATTATAACATTTTTGATTTAAAATCAAAATAATACAATTTTAGATATTATTATTATTGTTATTATATTAAAATAAATAGATTTGTTTTAAAATATTTATTTATAATTTTAAATTAAGTGTATTATTAAATTGAAATAAAATTAATTTATATTTTCTTTTTCATCTTTATTTTAAATTTGATGAATTTCAAAAATAAAATATGTATATAATTCTATTTTATTATGTTTTATTTTTATTTGATCTAAAATTAAGTATAAATTATACAAGGCTAATTTTAAAAATTTTAAATTACTTTGTGATTATAATTATCTTTTTTTATTATTTGATATATTATAAAATTCAATATTAAAATTAATATTATATTATTGAAAAATATATTTATTCAATATTATAATATAAGCAATATAAAAGAATTCCTTATTAATATATATATGTTTATTAAAAAATTATGATTATATTATATAAATTTAACTTTATAATAATATTTGATAATTAATTAATAATTAAAAATAATAAGAATAAAATAACAATATATATAAAATGTTAAAATATAAAAAAATTAAATAAAACATATATAATGAATTGAAAATTATAATTTAAATATTAATTTTTATTGTAAGTTTTTTATAATTTTTACTTTAAAACATTTGGGCTTTATTTTTAAAACATTGTATTTTCAGATATTTTTATATTTTTAAATTTAAAAATAAATTTACACGTATATTTAAGAATTTAATATATATATTTAAATGCAATAATTTTGTTTTTTCACAATATATTATATTTTATATTGATATTAAATTCATTAATATTATTCTATTTTAAATATTTTTTTTTTTACAAAAAATAATAAAATTTGAAAGGATAAAAAAATTAAAAGTAAATTAAATATAAATATATATATGAAAATCAAATACTATAAATAAACATTATTTATGAAAAAAATCTTAATTTTTATAAAATTTTTAAGAATTATTTTTTAAAATAAATATTTTAATTTTTTTCTATTAATTTTTGTTTATTTATTAAATATTATTCATTAGAAAATTATCATTCGGTTTCCCCCACCCCCTAAAAAAAAAATGCTCCTACACATTTTTCTATAATGCTTTTAGGGGAAAGTTTCTTTTCTGATTTATGATAAGATTTCTTCATAAACATATTTCAAAAAAAGCCAGATTGAATGATTGAATATCTTATTTCTATTCTTATATGAAATAAGTTAGAACTTTGAAAATTTTCGCAGAAATTTCGATTAGTTTGAGAAATTAAATTGAATTATAAAATCTTTAGTTTTTTTTAAATTTAAAAGCGTAAAAATTAATTAAGAATAACTTAATAAGCAGTATCTGAAATTAATCGATTTAAGTTATTGATAGAAATTTCATATCCAACAGAATATAAAAACTCTTAATTCTTTTTAAATTTATCAAGGAATTACTTATTAAGATAAGCTAGTAAAAGTACTTTTTATTAAAATTTCTATTATTTATAAGATTAATTGAATCATTATTTCTCCTATTTTTAATGATTATTTATAATATTTTAATTTTATATAGTAATGGCCTTTTTGAACTAGAATAGAGTTTTTAATTTTTTTTTTTAATTATAATAATTATAAACAAGTTTTATGTAAATAATTTTTTATTTTAATATGAATTTAAAATATATATTTATTTTAAAATATTTAAATGAAAAAAAAAAAATGTTTAAAACTCAGAAAAATGAAAAATAACAAAATAAACTATACTTAAAATTAATAAAAAAATATAATTAAATTTAAATTGTTAATTTTTAAATTTTAAATTTTTTCAAAATTATAAATAAAAAAAATAGCTTTTATATACAAAATTTATAAAATCTTTTAGAAAAATAATGACTATAGAAAATGTTTTTTAAAATTGTTTATATGTAATAATATAATTTTGATATTAATTATTTTTTAAAATATAAATTTAAATAAAATAAATTAGATCTTTATATATGAATAAATATAAAATATAATATAATCAACATAACATCTATATATTTTATTAAGAATAATAATTTTGGTTTATATAATATTTTATTTTAATTATTTGATTGTAATAAAGTTTTTAATAATTATTATTTTTCTAAATTTTTATTTTTATAAAGTGTTAAAAGATAATTTTTCAAAAGTATTAAAAAATTATTTTATTTAGATAAAATTGTTATTTTTTTATATAGATTATAAAAAAAAATATTATTTATCAGGTTTAGAAATAATAAATTATTCTTATTATTTATATAATTATTAAAAATCATTTTTTTTTAATAATATTTGTTTTGTTTTATTTTATTTTCTAACTTCTAAAATTAATTTTATAAAAAATTATTTTAACCTTTAAATAATTAATTAATTTTATTTTTTTACTTCTTGAGGTTTTTTACTCATAGTATTATATGAAATAAGCTTTTTTCCCGATAATTTTTATTTTTTCTAAAAGTAATGATTTTTTCTTATAATTATTAATCAATATATTTTAATTTTGATCTTTTTTTTATTCCAATACATTATTATTTGGATTTTCAAAAAAAAAATTAAAATTAAGGATTTAAATCAACATTTTCCTTTATTAATTTTTTTTTTTTTTTCTGATTAATATTTTTCCTTTTATTTAAATAATATTTATAAGATGTTTTTATTAATTTATTTTTTTGAAAATATAAAAATAATATAATTTTTAGAATTTATTTTATTAAAGAAGAAGCATTTTTCTATAAGTGAGAAATATGTGTTTTTTTTGAAAATTTTAAGAAGAATTAAATTTTAAACAATTGATTAAACAAATATTTTTGCTAAATTTTTATAAGAACTCATAGTTAAATACTTTATTATTTTATGTTTAATTTTTTTAATAAAATTTATTTTTAATAATAAAAAATATAAATTTAAAAATTAAAGTAAAACATTATAATTTTTAATTTAAAAATGAATAATAGCGAAACAAATCGTAAACTTAACGAAAGTGAGAGAACAAATGGATTTATTAAAAAAATTCGTCTTTTTGAAAATAAATATAGCAAAGAATTTCCAATAGACGAAAAAATATTAAATTAAATAGACTTTTTATAAGACGAAGAAGATAATAGTTCAAATAATAATAAAGAAAAAATATCACAAACATTTAAAAGATCATAAATAATTAACCAAAATACAATCGAAAGATAACTTTTTAAGACTAATTCGCCTTCTATATTTAATGTAAAATAATACACTACAGAAAATTAATAGTAATAATCTTAAATAAAAAAACAGTTAAATAACAATAAGTTTGTAAAATAATTTTTTTAATAAAAGAAAATAAGAAGCCGCATATAAACCTTATAAGATGAGAATAAAAAAAATGTAATTAATTCTATAGGAAATACAAATAATATGTAAAAATGGAATTTTGTAAATTTAATAAGTATAATTATGAAATTAAAGTTAAAATTGAAAAAAATGATTTCTTAAAAATTCTGTAATTTAACTTAAAACGAACTTTTTTTAATTAATGATAAATCTTCTTTTTTAGAGATAAAAGAAGAGTAAAATAAACAAAAAAAAACTTTAGTTTTTAATCCAGAATCAGGAAATATGATGATTTTTAAAGCTTTTTTGATATTTTTGGCTTTTATAAATATTATTATAGTATCCGTTAGTAATTTCTTTTGGTCTAAAAATACAAAAAGAGATTTTTCTTTAGATTGTTTTTGGAATAAATATAATTATTTATTTTTGTGATATAAGTATGAAGTTGAGAACTGGCTTTTTTGAGGAAAATAAATATATAGAGAAAGCATAAGAAATATTCAAAAAATAATTATAAGGAGAGCTTTGGTTAGACTTGATTTCTATAGGGAGTATTATTGGGTCTTATTTTTAGGAAGAAATAGGAATAATTTTAATAATAAATAAGTTATTGGAAAGTAAAAAATACTTAGAAAAAATTGATAATTATTATATGATAAGTGAAAGATATCATACAGAATGGATATTATTTAAATTATTTATTTTTATTATTTCAGTAGCGCATTTTTTCGCATGTGTTTTTAGATTTATGTGTTTTTTTAATCAGAAAAATAATTGGATGATTTAGTTTGGGATTGAACAAGATGGTTTTTACACTTAATATAACTGTTCGATGTATTTTTCACTTATTACAGTTATTTCAATAGGCTACGGTGATATTACACCTGTTAATAATTAGGAAAGGGTAGCAGTTATTATTATGAGTGTTATTACTTCTGGATGTTTTGCGTATATTGTGAATACTATTGGGACTATTTTTTAAACTAAATATATTGAGTAAGCTCATTACAAGAAAATGAGATAAGATGTGGGAATATATATGAGGATTAGGGGAGTCAGTAAAGAATTATAGGTCAGAGTTTTGAAATATATTTAGTATTTACATGAGAAGGAAAATTTCGATCCGGAAAAAGGAATTAATGTTTTGAATTAAATATCCGAGAATTTAAAAAAAGAGGTGTTTTTATAATTTTATGGGAAGATTTTAAAAGCGGATAAGTATTTTAATTTAAACTTTTCAGCTAATAGTTTAGAAAATTTAGCTTTAAAAATGAAGGAGAAAATGTATGGACCTGGGGAAATTATATTTGGAGAAAATGAAGTTGATTGTAAAATTTTTTTTTAATTAAAGGAAAAGTTGAGTATTTTTTAAAAAATAAAAATTTAAAGGAATTATTTTTAGTTTAAATATAAGTATTTAAAAAAAAAAAAACTAAAAAATATTTTATTAAAAAGGAAAATTAATTTTTTGGTCATAAAGAATTTATTTCAGGTCTCCCAAGAGATGTAAATTGTAGAAGTATAGATATTTGTCATATTTTATATTGCACAAGAGATGATTTTTTGTAAGTAATATAAAATGAATAAATTGATAATGAAAAATTTTGTTAATTAAAAGATTAAATATTACTTTATAATAAACATTCGGTTTAGAATTGTTTCGGGTGTTAAAAATACGGGCATTCAGTTTTTAATTGCCA